CTGTCATACGTGGCGTTCCAGAGGTCCGGGCCAAGTACAGACCCCTGTGCCGCTCCGCCGGTTATACGTCTCTTTCTCTGACCTTGTGTTGTGTCGTACAAAAGCCAACGGTCTCTGAGGTAGTCCCGGATCATGTCTAGCAAGTATGTTGGAACCTTGAATGACCGTTCCAAGGCCTCCAGCATATCGTCCCATCTTGCCGAGTTGAAGGCGTTCTTGACGTCCAGTGTTACTAGCAGCACTATTGGCCGCGCCTGGTGGCAGGCTTCTTCGGCCTTATGTACCGCCTCGACTACTTCGCCAATTGCTCCTATAGTTGAGTGTCCCTTCCTGAAGCCATGTTGTCGGGGTGAAAGGCCTCCCTCGCTTTCTATGGCTGATGTCAAGCGTATTTTGAGCAGACTCTCCATCATTTTGCCTGCTGTGTCTAGCTTGCAGAGTGGCCGGAAGCATGAAGGAGAGTTTGGGTCCCCTTTGCCCTTGGGTATAAGCACCAGTCTCGCCTGCTTCCATTGGCTTGGGAAAACCCGGGCCCTAAGGCAGCTGTTGTACATGTTAAGCAGAAGATCAGGGCTCTAATAATTCGAATTATTATTATTATTATTATTATTATTATTATTATTATTATTATTATTATTATTATTACTATTNATTATTATTACTAATAGTTGTTATTAAATACTATTATAATTCGAATTATTTTTATCACTATCATTATCATCATCATTATTTCTGTGGTCACAAGCAATAACAGCCTAAGTTGACTTAAGAAAGAATGGTATTCCATGCGTATGTAAAATCCCCATGTCGCCAGCTAGGATACTTTAAATGTTATAGGCGAAAATATTTTGGTTTTCCCATAAGATTAACATTACAATCCAATGGCCTTTTTCAATTTATAAACCTTTTTTAAAGCCACTTTATTCTTAATGAATAAGGCTGCAAATATTTAAGACTTTTCTCGAATTCAGGTTTTTCCACTTAGGCGGTTATTGCTTATGACCACAGATTTTTATTATTATTATTATTATTACTACTATTATTATCATTATTACTATTGTTATTATTACTAATTGTTGCTATTCATTATTATTATTAATATATAACTGTGATATGAAGTACAATTTAATTTAATTTTACAAATTTTTCGTTAGTTTATTAAAGACGCAATCAGTATTGTATTGAAATCGAATTTTCTGAATACATACAAAATATGCCATATTTTTCAACGTTATTAATTTCTTGAGTGGAATACTTCTACTTAACTCTTAGCTAAAAGTACAAGAAATTTAAATAAAAATTAAATTTTTTCTTTTTTATTTGTATAGTGATAAAATGCTCTACAACAAACTTTCTGCGAGCCTTTGCCTGATGTTTCTCGCTTCAGGTGATACGTTACCCCCGAATTCTTATACGTATGTAACATCATCCTCTTCGACCTATACCCACTCATCTTTGTAAAATATACAAATATTGTGTAAAGCGCAACATGCATTAATAATTTGGGTTGTCTTTTCCGGACTGTAGTGCAACCCTCTTTCCCCAATTATGCAACGGAATCTGTTTTTTAAAATTCCAAAACACCTTTCTACAACGTTGCGGCCTTTGCACAATTTCATGTTGAATTGTGTCTCAGTTTGATTGCCAGGACTACGGAAAGGTGTCATCAGGTACGGCATAAGCTGGTAACCGGAATCTCCTAAAACAAGTTAAGGAAAATTAAAATTGAAAAATACAGAAGTAAATGATTAGGAGTTTCCTTTTGTCTTACCTAAGAGCCAAGTGTTTCGTTTACCAGAGTCAAACTGTGACTTGAAAAAAACTTCCGCCCTGCTTGCACTCCAAACAAATGCGTCGTGGTTTGAGCCTGGATACCTGGCGTCAACGTATCGTATGCATGATCACAAATCTTAAATACATACATATGTACGTAGAAATTAGTTTCCTTAGTAAAAATAAGCAAAAATCACTTACTATCATTGCATTTATACTATAATAGCCTTTCCTATTATAATATAAATGCTTTGTGTCAGGGGCGCACCCAGGAATATATTTTGGGAGGTGTTTATACTTCTGAAAATTCGCTTCAGATAAAATGATCATTAAAGTACATTTATGCAAGTTTTATGTACAGTATGTAATAAATAAATAAACTTTTTGAAGTTTCATAAATTGCATTTATTTACATAAAATTAGCAAAAAACTCAAACATTTGTAACCGACTTCGAAAAAGGGGTAGGTTATCAATTCGTCGAAATAGTATGCTAACGCATAACTTTGGACCACGTGAACCGATTTCAACAATTCTTTTTTTTTATCGGAGAGATGGTCACTCAAGGGTCTTCCCGTAATTTGAAATTACTTGTTTAATATAAAGTTCTATAAACACAAGATGCGCTCAACTTGCAAAAGTAATAAAAAAATTAAAAAAAAAGAGTTTTAATGTTCATTTTCCTCGATATCTGGTTTCTGGTTTTCGAATGAGATGGTGTTTTTTACGATTGCTTAATTTTTTTAATATTTCGAATACCGAGAAAATTAAATGAACTCGAATTTTTGTTATGTAGGCAATTTTGATGGAACGAATTCGAAGTGGGCAAATTAAATCTTCGAATGCTTGTTAAGGACATATCAGTTGTAAACTCTTTTAAGGTCAGTAAGTGAGTATGCATTGCATATTTTTAGGTTTCATTCGCAGTTAAACTTTTAAGAGCTCTCAAAAAAAACGAAAAATTCATATAAAATGGCGCACAAGAAATGGAATAGGAATTTTCTTCTATCAAAATTTCTTAAATCATTTTGCATCTCTCAAGAAAAAAATGCTCGTATATTTATTTCTTCAAGAAAATTTACAGCAAAAGCAAAGTGCTTTATAATAAAAAATATTTCTTGTGATTTTTCTTGAGAGCTGGCTTTCGGATACAGTTTGTTTTTCAGGTTATTAGCTTTAGGGGGGGTTTGAACCCCAAAACCCACCCCTTGTGTGCGCTAATGCTTTGTGTCCTCACTTGGGCATTTAATCTTAACGTGGGTTCCATCGGCGCATCCAACTATACCCGGTATCCCACATTTCACATAAAAATTTTCTTTGGCTGCGCTTTCCTCTTCTGTCATCCTCAGCTTTATCCAATTTGGACAAAAATTTGTTTCAAAAATTTCAAAGCACTCTGTTATGGCATTGCTAACCATTGGCTGAGACATGCTGGATAGAAACTCATCTCCGACGCCTTTTTGGTAGCTGCCTGTCGCCAGAAATCTTAAAAAAGCAGACAGCTTATGTATTGGCGCCACTTTGCTGCTTCTGCATCCACTAGCCATGTGTTGTGACATTTCGTCCAAAATAAGTTTAAAAACTCGCTTTGAAACTCTAAAGTTTTTTACGAACCTTAAAGGAAAATAAAGTTTATACATTAGTTTAATAACTCGCATATCGACGACTGAGTGGAAGACCACCCTATGGTTGAACAGTGGGCAATCTCAGCAAATGGTTCAAAAACTCCGTGTCTCAGCAGCTGCTTTAAAAACGCCTTATCTCACTATATATTCAATATGTATATCGGCAGGTTCAATCAAATTCCGCAATAAGGCATGCTTCAACCATTTGCTGAGATAATGCGTTTTCGAACCGACAGTCGAGGTAGGGCGATCTCCCACTCAGCCGAAGGTATATAATTATTAAATAAACCTACTCTCTGTCAGGAATTTCGAGTAGATTGGAATTGTCTCGGAGCATTCGTTTACTTGCCCGCATAAAGCTCGCATTGTCTTCCTCATCACTATCGCTGGTGTCTGATAGATAGACTCCGATCGAAAACATTAGGTGGCGTTCGATAACGACAAAAAATTATCCAACACACAAAAATTGAGAGAGCAAGCGTTCATTTTGATCCAAGAGAAGCGTTCATTTTGTACTGGCAAAATTTTAGTCAGCAAAAATTATCCAACACGAAAACATATGATCACAAAACATATGGTTGCAATTTCTGTAAACAAACAAAATTGCATTTTCCGGGTTTTGGTATATATATGCTTTTTGGCTGCCTGCTATGTGACTTTATGATAGCGCCAANATGAACTCGAATTTTTGTTATGTAGGCAATTTTGATGGAACGAATTCGAAGTGGGCAAATTAAATCTTCGAATGCTTGTTAAGGACATATCAGTTGTAAACTCTTTTAAGGTCAGTAAGTGAGTATGCATTGCATATTTTTAGGTTTCATTCGCAGTTAAACTTTTAAGAGCTCTCAAAAAAAACGAAAAATTCATATAAAATGGCGCACAAGAAATGGAATAGGAATTTTCTTCTATCAAAATTTCTTAAATCATTTTGCATCTCTCAAGAAAAAAATGCTCGTATATTTATTTCTTCAAGAAAATTTACAGCAAAAGCAAAGTGCTTTATAATAAAAAATATTTCTTGTGATTTTTCTTGAGAGCTGGCTTTCGGATACAGTTTGTTTTTCAGGTTATTAGCTTTAGGGGGGGTTTGAACCCCAAAACCCACCCCTTGTGTGCGCTAATGCTTTGTGTCCTCACTTGGGCATTTAATCTTAACGTGGGTTCCATCGGCGCATCCAACTATACCCGGTATCCCACATTTCACATAAAAATTTTCTTTGGCTGCGCTTTCCTCTTCTGTCATCCTCAGCTTTATCCAATTTGGACAAAAATTTGTTTCAAAAATTTCAAAGCACTCTGTTATGGCATTGCTAACCATTGGCTGAGACATGCTGGATAGAAACTCATCTCCGACGCCTTTTTGGTAGCTGCCTGTCGCCAGAAATCTTAAAAAAGCAGACAGCTTATGTATTGGCGCCACTTTGCTGCTTCTGCATCCACTAGCCATGTGTTGTGACATTTCGTCCAAAATAAGTTTAAAAACTCGCTTTGAAACTCTAAAGTTTTTTTACGAACCTTAAAGGAAAATAAAGTTTATACACTAGTTTATACATTAGTTTAATAACTCGCATATCGACGACTGAGTGGAAGACCACCCTATGGTTGAACAGTGGGCAATCTCAGCAAATGGTTCAAAAACTCCGTGTCTCAGCAGCTGCTTTAAAAACGCCTTATCTCACTATATATTCAATATGTATATCGGCAGGTTCAATCAAATTCCGCAATAAGGCATGCTTCAACCATTTGCTGAGATAATGCGTTTTCGAACCGACAGTCGAGGTAGGGCGATCTCCCACTCAGCCGAAGGTATATAATTATTAAATAAACCTACTCTCTGTCAGGAATTTCGAGTAGATTGGAATTGTCTCGGAGCATTCGTTTACTTGCCCGCATAAAGCTCGCATTGTCTTCCTCATCACTATCGCTGGTGTCTGATAGATAGACTCCGATCGAAAACATTAGGTGGCGTTCGATAACGACAAAAAATTATCCAACACACAAAAATTGAGAGAGCAAGCGTTCATTTTGATCCAAGAGAAGCGTTCATTTTGTACTGGCAAAATTTTAGTCAGCAAAAATTATCCAACACGAAAACATATGATCACAAAACATATGGTTGCAATTTCTGTAAACAAACAAAATTGCATTTTCCGGGTTTTGGTATATATATGCTTTTTGGCTGCCTGCTATGTGACTTTATGATAGCGCCAACTAGTTTTTACTTCTAGAAATGTTCCTGGCGAACACTTCACACGTTCACTTTCCTTTTTTCTTCTATGGAGGCAACATGAACTTCAGTTTGTTTACAAAAACATCATAAACAAAGTCAGCTGGTGTGTCTTCTTCTTCCGGTTTTTGCAAGTAATGGCTAATTTCCTGTTCGTTTACTTTTTTGCTTTTTCATCTCTTTGGGAGAGAATTTTCGCTTACTCTCTTGATTTTGATTGTTGGCTGGTGTTGGCTAATTTTGTTATCGAACGCAACTATTATCTGTATAGAGAGCAGCAATAAATATAAAACAGTTTTAAAAATATATAAATCACCTTTTTACCTTTTCGCTGATATATATATTCTGTTTTACTATTTCGCGCTTTTGTTTATTTTTATTTTTGATTTGCACCCCTTGGTCAGCTGTTCGGCATCGCAGTGTTACCCACTCAGTGAAACACTTTTATTCCGAAAAAAAAACAACGCAAATTTTTTCGAAATTACAGCAAAAAAAAGGGTGGCCGAAGGGGCTACGTAATGTGTAAACATCTGTTTGACAGTCGTAGTGACTACGCAACAGGATGAACGCGAAAACGTAAAAGGTTATATAATAGGAACTTTTTGGTGAATGTGAATGTGAGTGACTGGGAGGAAAAGTGTCACGGCGTTTTACATAATTAGGCCGTAACACATTCTCATTTATCTTACTAACACATTTGCAAATTTTGCGTTGTTTAAATATTTTTCGTTATTTTTCATAAAAATAAGTTTCATGCTTTAATCAAAACCACTTAAGTCGAACTTTATACAGAACTTCGTCTAAATTTTGATCTTTTTAATCTGAATTTTTAGAAAGATAGATCGGTTTTTTAATTCGAGTAAAACAAGTGCAAGTTTTAAGCGCCTAAAAAATCGCGTTTATTTTTAATGATTTTTTACTGCTGACGGCTTTTTGCCCTTCGTACCATATAAAAGGGAATTTCTTGCAAAATCAATTGGGCAAGACTGTTTGCCCATTTGCAACCAAATAAGAAATAATAAACGCTATATTTTATAAATTGCACCTGTTAGGTTTATGCATAAAACCGCAAAATCCGTCGGGAAAGACTCATTTAAAATCAACGCGATTTTTTAGCCGCTTACAACTTTCACTTGCTTCACTAGAATTATATAACCGTTCTATCTGCGTACCCAAAACTATTCTAAAAATTCAGATTAAAATGTTAAAAATTTAGATCATAATTTGTTTAATTTTTCTACGTTCTGTATAAAGTTTGATAGTTTCACTTATGTGGTTTCGGTTAAAGCCCAAAATACAATAACGCAGTGGCAGTGGCAGCGGCATTTTTTTGAAATCAACTGTTTTTTTAGAAAGTGTGGTGTCCAATGAAGCGACTTACAATACAGCATTGGCAGCTAGCAGTACTGCTCAGTTTAGCCCAAGTTCTAAATTCACTGCCACTGCCTTCATCGCCAAAAATTACCAACTAGATAACTTATTTTACTGGATAATGAGGATAGTTGCCACTTTTCACTTGGCTGGCCGAGATTTCTTCATTTTAAGATTTAAGAATTTTTGTGCCGGATTGAAAAAGTTGCGCTTGATGGTGATGAATTTGCGGAGAGATCTGCTGCTATTGGTTTTATGAATGAATGTACACTTGGCCTTGAGAAATACGCGCATGCGTTTATGAATGAAATAGTTGTTGTTGTATTTGAATATGCGCGTAATTATGTATGTGTTTATGTATGCAGACGTGAGTTGTATACATGAATCACCTAATCAGCCATCGTTGTATTTGTAATCGATTTTAGAAAAAAGTTTTCGTAGCGTTTTTGACGTTTTTCGGTTTTGTTTACACCGTCTTCTCTCTCTCTCTTCGTATTGATTTTTTAGCGATTGAATGTGTTTTCTGCAGTGATTTTAATTATAAATTTTTATTTATTACATATTTATGATATAAAATGAAATGCTGTGTGATTGCAACAAGTTTGTGCGTATGTTTGGTTTGCCAAAAGGTGTAAATTTGCGTGAAAAGTGGTTCTACTTTTGTGGTAAGAACGTTGGCATTGAAAAATCGAGCTGTGCTGATGCTATGCGGTTGTAAAACACTTTCTATCACGAAAACCATATTTTATGGGCACCTTTTGATCAGTTTTATTCGGTTTCACTTATTATATTTTATAATAAATGCCAATATAATCGCACTCAAGCACCGCGCCTTTTTCGTTTCCTTAGTTTGTTTTCATTCTTAGGCAGATGTCAAAAATGCTCAGAAATATACTTTTTTCTTGCTTCTTTGATTGGGTGATATATATGTATGTATGTACTTATACATATATGCATGTAAAAAACGTTATCAACAGGGAACGGATTTTTAGGACCTAAAAACCTATAAAAAAGGCAAAATAAAATAACGAAATAGGCTGGAAAAGGCAAAATAAAA